TTTTAACCATCGCGCCACTCAGCCGGTCCTCTACCTTTTTTTTTATCGTTTATCTAACAACATAATACATAATACGTTCTTAGAGTGTGTTAAGAGACACCACACTAGATGCAAGATATAGAAAGAGTGAAAACACACAGTTACTTTTCTCATGTTGCTTATTGTCTATTGGGGGTGACAGATAAGGAAAAAAAGCATTTTCAGTTCAGGATAAGTGCTATGACAGAATTATGCTCAAAATGCTGGGAGAAGGGCCACCTAACTAATCTTAAGAAAGGAAAGATGGGAAAGGTAGGAGACAAGAGCATTTCTGTGAGTATTGAAGAATGGATAGGATAGTTAGCTAGGCTATGGAAGGTGAAGGGCATTTCAAGCAGAGATTACAGCAATCCTAAAAGTATGGAGTTAAGAAACACCTTTTGCATGTGAAGAATCGTAAGATTCTAATCATTGGGTCTTCGTTAATAAATAGAGCTCTCCTTGGTTTCTGCATTTACATTGTTGGTTTTGACTCAGCATTAGGAGAGCCATAGAAGAGAATGAGAAGGAAAATAAAACTGAGACTGAAAAAAGGGAGAAATGTTATCTGGAGTATAATAGTTGGCTATTGCTGGAAACCCTTTCTATGACATACATGGTAACTATGTTAAAACTTCACAAAGCATGTTGATTTTTTGCAAAACACAAGATTTATAATAACTATATTTTCTAATTTTGGTTTTATATTAGTTTGCAAATGATTAAAAATTATTAAAATTCCTGTCAATTCAGAAAAAAAAAATCAAGCACTGTGACCACATTTTTCTTACCAGAATGGAGTGCATTCCCATGTAAATTCTACTTAGGCAAACTAGGGAACACCAGCAGGGAATAAGAATCAGTCCATATATGAGAGGATACTAAAGGGGAAAAAAAGTAAAATCAGTTAAATAAATTAGGTTAAATATAAACAAGCAAATAAAAACAAATCTATTTATACTATAAAATTCCATTAAAACAAAAACTATAAGTCTTTACTCTCCATTTTATTCCCAGCACTAACCCTAAGCATGGCACACAGCAGACATTCAAGAAATACTATTTCATGTATGAACAAGTGAATGAAATCTGAGGTTTTTACATTCTTCTTTGTTGGAACTGGCTCATTTTTGCTTCTACAGTAAAGATTCAACCACCAGCGTGTTACAGAAGAATAAAACAGGCAGGAGACATACTTTAATATGGTCCCAAAATGAGAGCGCCTCTAGAATAGTGCCTGAATCTGGCCCCTGAAGGGTCCTCACTTCCCTAGGGAGGCGGACACATTATCTCCCTCTCACTTCCATTAGTAACTGCTATCTGCAATTTCTATTGACATTTCACCATCTTGTATTCAATAGTCAACACCTTGTAACTTGTAACTACTAACACATCATGTATTCAATATTCAACAACTTGTAACTACTAAAATTGTAAATTGTAACCTTATTGAGAAAACATTTGATAGGATACGGGAGCAGGTCATAAAAAGGAAAGAATATGTAGACAACTCTTGGTATCAATGGCACTGGGTTAAGAGTTGGCTTTGAATCTCCTGGGATTAGAGGAGAGGAAGAAAGAGTAGACTGGCATGATGGTAAATTTGTAAAGAATGGGGTGGTAGGGGGCACACAATTGAGGCAGTTTATACCTCATTACTTCACATTTCTCAAGAATTTGAAGACAAGGTGGTTTAATTCAGTAAGAATTCAAGGTGGTTCAATAAGAAGTGAGGTTGAAAGAAGGGAGTTAAGTAGGGTTGTAAGAATGGTAAAGATTTAGAACATAGTTTTGATTTGACGTTTCTGTTGCATTTAATATGGCCCACAACTTTCTTCTTGAAACTCCAAATACCCTTGATTTTTATAGCATCACACTCTCCTGGTTCCCCTCTAATTATGTATTTTTTTTCTGTGTTTCCCATACGACACTGTATCTTCCTCTTCTTGTCCCTTAAACGTTGGTATAAATAAGAATTCAGCCTTTAGTAATTTTTTTGCAGCCTCACCTTTCCTATTTTTTAACCTCTACTTAGCATGCCGGAGACCCAGCATTTCCTTAGGTTTAATAACCACATAGCCAACTCATGCACATATCTGCACCTTGAGGTCCCTATGGAGTTAAACCCCAAATACTTCAAACCGAACTCATCAACCTCCCAACCAAACTTGTTCCTCCTCTCACATTCCCTATTTCATTTGGAAACATCATAATACACATAACAATCTAAATAATAAATATGAATTATCTTTGATTTCTTCATATCCCTCATATTTAACCAATAACCAAGTCTGGCTAATTTTACCTTCCAATTCTTTCTTTCTTTTTTAAATTCTTTTTTTTTTAAATTGAGGAATTGGGGGGATGGGAACAGCGTTGGGGAATTGGGGGGAAGGGGAAGAGACAAGTTGCTGTTCTTTTGTTCTTCAATCTACTTGTGAAGGATGTTGCTTCACTGGCCCAAGTTGGCACCATCATTGCGCTCTTCCTGGGCAAGGCAAATCAGTCGCCGGCCTTTAGATGGCAGCTCACGGCGGCTGCTGGACGCTCACGCTGGCTGCTGGCTACACACGGTAGCCCATGGCAACCCACTGCAGCAGGGGCTGCAGTCTAGCCGTCGCCGGCAACTCACGGCAGCCCAGCTCCAGGTCGAGCTGTTGTTCAGCATCTTAACTGTAGAGGGCAGTGTCACTGGCCCTCTATGTGGAATCCGAACCGGGGCCCTCTGGCGTCCCAAGCCAGCTCTTAACCATCGCACCACTCGGCCGGCCCTCCAATTATTTCTTGATTCTGTCACTTCTTCTCCATCCTACATACACTGCCCTTGTTCAGATCCTCTTTTCTAAGCTCTACCTATTTTTCTAGCCATTTTTCTATATGCATGAGAAACTTGGTTAATGAGGCAAACAGACATATAACCATATAATGAGGTAAGTGCTATGATAGGAGTATAGTGGAAGTTCAGAGGGTATTCTAAAGAATGGACCTTTAATTTAGTTTAAAGATTTTAACAAAGACTCACAGATTAACTAAAATTCAAGTTGTCCTGAAAGATGAGTGGGATTTAGTCTTTAGAGAAAAGTAGGAGGACAGGGCAAAAAAAGGTAGAGGGCATTACAACAGCAGGAGCACCAAGAGCAAAGGCTTGTGTGCAAGACTGTAAGTGTGGTTTTCTAGTAGAATACGCTTACATTCTTGCTGGGGGGAGGCACTAAACAGTGGACATAAGATATGTAAATTATATGTAAGTATATAAATAATATAAAATGTATAAATTATATAATAAAACATGGTAAGAGGTATGGAGAAAGAAAAAGAGAACAGATGTTGAAGAAACATCAAATACTCCTTGTGTTCCTCCTACACTTTCAGTTTACCTGCAGCTAGATTGGGACCAAGTGACTAGTTTTGGCCAACGAGCTAAGAAAAAAAGTGACTTGTGCCACTTGCAATCATTCTATGAACTCTCTTTTCCCCCCAGATATGACCCTGGAAGGCACATGTTGAGATTCATCAGGGGATGCGCAAACTTCCATCAGTCTGGGTTCCTAAGGTTCTAAGTAGAACAAAGCTTGTGCTAACCCATAATGAATATGTAACACAAATGAGAAATAAACTTTTGTGGTTACCTGAGATGTGGGGGTTAAGTCATTCCCAGAGCATAACCAAGTCTATCATACTTAAAATGGTAACAGAAATAGCATCAGGAGCTTGGGAATATGCATGGGGCAGGTTAAAATATTAAATAAAAGATAATCAATGTGAGCTTTATTGAGAAGCTGATTTGAGGCAAGACTGGATGGAGATGAGAATTAGCCAAGCAGATATCCAAGGGAAGAACATATACCAGGCAAGGGGATCAGGTAGGGCAAAGTCTCTAATGAGGAAATGTAAGGCAGGTGTGGCTAGAGCCGAGAAAGCAACTAGGAGAGGTGAGAGAAGTAATCAGGGATAGAGCAAGCAGAACTGAGGCCACCGAAAGAAATTTGACTTTTATTGTGAATCAAATGGGGACCATTATAGGGTTTTGAACAGAGTAGTGCCATGATGGCTGCTATGTTGAGATTAGACAATAAGGGATCAAGGTTGGAAACTAGTCAGAAAGCTGTTGGTATAATCTAGGTGAGAAATAAAAGTGGCTTCTGTCTCTGTATCAGGCACTCAGGCCTTTTAAATTTTTCTGTTAATTAAAAAAAACAAAAACCTGTCAATAGCTGGGCTGGCCGAGTGGCATGTTGGTTAAGAGCTGGCTTGGGAATGCCGAGGGCCCCGGTTCGGATCCCACATAGAGGGCCAGTGACACTGCCCTCTACAGCTAAGATGCTGAACAACAGCTCAACCTGGAGCTGGGCTGCCATGAGTCGCTGGCGACAGTGTAGACTGCAACCCCTGCTGCAGTGGGTTGCCATGGGCTACCGTGTGTAGCCAGCAGCCAGCGTGAGCGGCCAGCAGCCGCCGTGAGCTGCCGTCCAGAAGCCGGCGACTGATTTGCCTCGCCTGGGAAGAGCGCAACGATGGTGCCAACTTGGGCCAGTGAAGCAACGTCCTCCACAACTAGACTGAAGAACAAAAACAAAAAGACAGCAACTTTTCTGTTCCCCTTCCCCAATTCCCCAATGCTGTTCTCTCCCCCAATTCCCCAATAAAAAATCTTTAAAAAACAAAACAAAAAACTGTCAATAGCAAGGAGAACCAAAGAAGTAAGCAATAACCAAGAATTTCTCCTATGCTAGCTGCTGCTGCTTCTTTTTTTTTTTACTTAGACTCTATAAGAAAGTAAAAATGTACCGTTATTGAGAGGAATTATTTGTACACAAAATATTAAAGAAAAATTCATTTATAGAGTCTCAAAAGCTAGGGCTGATGGTAGGGGAATGAGAGAGTTTTTGAGTAGGGACAATGAAACTGAGTTTAACTTAACTCAAACCACATTTATTCGGGTTCACTATGCTCAAAGTGTTTAAATAGGAGAGTTAGGAATGCAAATCGAGCTAGAGGCAGAGGCTAAGGAAGAAGCTATGGGCCTTTTTATTTTCCTTTCCCCCTATTCCAGAGCACCCTTAGACTTCACTGGGGTAAGGTACTAGTTGGAAAAAGAATAATTCACTTTTATTCTTATTTATTGGTTGATGTTTTTTTAGCCATTAGTCTCTTCCTTCAGAGTATTTTTCCTTGATTTTTTTTTTCTGGGAAGAAACATGCTTAGGGGACTACCTAATCCAGTTCTGACTATATGACTTTCATATTTACTCCCCACTGAATAAAAGAATTCTGAATCACAAAGTATCAGAGCAAAGAGGTATTTCATCAGTTAACTTTAAGCAGATTTTAAAAACCCATAAATTTTAATACTAAAGGAAATAAACTAGATCTAAAGTGAGATCCTGTGGGGGAAAGCTGAATTATGCATAACCAGTTCACGTGGCATATTTAATTATATTTAAGAATATCCAGGGCCAGCCGAGTGGCTCAGCTGGTTAAGAGCGCGAGCTCTGAGCAACAGGGTTGCCGGTTCGATTCCCACATGGGCCAGTGAGCTACACCTGAGCTACACCTGAGCTGAGCTGCCCTGAGCCACCAACAGGTGGCGGGATTTTTCAGCTGGTGAGAGCTTATGCTCCTAACAACAAGGTTTCTGGTCTGACTCCTGCATGGGATGGTGGGCTATGCCCACCTGCAACTAAGATTGAACATGGCACCTTGAGCTGAGCTGCCCTGAGCTGCCCACAGGCGGCCGGATGGAGACTGGACTTGGAGCTGAGCTAGCTGCACCCTCCACAACTAAGATTGAAGGACTATAACTTAGTTGTTCCCCTTCCCCAATCCCCAATAAAATCTTTAAAAAAAAATAATAAAAAGAATATCCAAACTGCATCTACCT